CGTATCACTGTAACACATTTATTGATTGATATTTACCTGTGCCCCTGCAGTTTTTGGCCATATGTATACGTACTTTAAATGTTGTCATGGTAGTCATAAAATTTTCTTTTTCTTTTTTTTTTAAAGATTTTATTTATTTATTTCAGAGAGAGAGAATGAGAGACAGAGAGCAGGAGAGGGAGGAGGGTCAGAGGGAGGAGAAGCAGACTCCCCGCCGAGCAGGGAGCCCGATGCGGGACTCAATCCCGGGACTCCAGGATCATGACCTGAGCCGAAGGCAGACGCTTAACCATCTGAGCCACCCAGGCGCCCCAGTCATAGAATTTTCTAATTTATTTTTTCACTTAACATTGTCATGCACATTTTCCTATGTTAATGTGCAATCTTCGTAATTATAATTTATAAAGATGCATAATTTCCTAGAGTAGATATACCATAATTTAATTAAATAGCCATTTTTGTTACTGTCAGGTCACTTAAGCTGCTCCAACTTTTTGCATTTTTAAAGATTTACATTTAAGACCAGCAGTGGTAATGGTGATGATGAAACCTTTCCTTGGGAATTTCCTCAGCTACACTTCAGGCTTCTTTTTTTATATAAAAAGATTTTATTTATTTGGGGGGGGAGAGTATGGGGGGGCGCCAAGGGAGAAGCAGATTCCCCACTGAGCAGGGGGCCCAACGTGGGGCTCAATCCCAGGACCCTGGGATTGTGACCTCAGCCGAAGGCAGACACTTAACCAACTGAGCCACCCAGGCGCCCCACTTCAGGCTTCTTAGTAAACAAAAGTATCATGATCCAGACTTGCTGTGTGCTCAAGAATCCCACCTTCAGAACAGTGCTTCTCTAACCCTCTGTGATGAAATACTAGTTTTATTCTTTTAATTTCCGGTCTGCTATGGACCAATTCTTTTTAAAACACAAAAACTGAAAAATGAAATGGAAAAATGAGGGACGTACAAAATACAAGACTACAGTTCTTATTGCTAGAGTTGATAGAAAGTCACTCTGCCAAATTGCCATAAAAGTCTGTAAAGAGTTATTTTCCTTATCTGTATTACCTTCTTGAGGATTGTTAGGCCACTGGTTGTTGCTGGGTCCCAGCCACACAGAGTTCTGTACTTGAGTGCGCTGCTCCCGGATACCACAGCACCTGCTTCATCTCCAGCTGATCACTGGCAGCCACTGAGTTTCTCTACTGAGTTTCTTCCATTTTTAGCAATCTATTGCCTCATCCACCTTTTGTTATACCTTCACTTCCCTTCTTATTCCTGTTTTTAAATGTGTGGTCTCTTTCTTCTCTTTGAATTCCTTTTCTACTGATCCTTCTATGACAGATTCTAATCTTTCCTCTGTCTTTACCCCTCACCAGGGTATATGTCATACCCCTCCTACCTCACCTGGCCACGGCCATGTCTTAGGCTTCAGTATTGTTCTTACCTGAGAACTCTTGGAGTTTGGTTATCACAGAGCCTCCCTTTAGTCTGAAGAGCCTCTCTCTAGTCTTGCTTTCGCCTGCCATTTTAAGAGACTTCATCATCTCCTTCAGTAGTTCTTGCTGCCTTAGGCATGTGCCTTGGACCATCAACTCTTAGTTTATTCCTATTACAGACTTCTCTAAGTATGTGTGCATTTAACTGTTAGTTTATCTTTCCGCTCTTGACCTTCTTATAACTTCCTAGACCCAGATTTTCCACTATGTTAAAATCATCTCAAGCCTGCATTCTTTTGTCACTTATATCTGAATATGATAAAAACTAAATACCCAGCCACCTTAAACTGAATATGGCATTTTGTTTTGTTAGCTCAGATTCTCCCTAACAAAAGTAGACTTCTAATCTTCTCATCCAAATGTTGCCCACTTCCCAAATATTCCACCAATGAGTTTGATGCTATCTTGTCTACTATTTAAGTTCAAAATATCAAGGATATTCTTTTTTTTTTTTTTTAAAGATTTTATTTATTTATTTATTATTTGAGAGAGAGAGGGTGAGAGACAGAGAGCACGAGAGGGGAGAGGATCAGAGGGAGAAGCAGACCCCCCATTGAGCAGGGAGCCTGATGTGGGACTCGATCCAGGGACTCCAGGATCATGACCTGAGCTGAAGGCAGTTGCTTAACCAACTGAGCCACCCAGGCGCCCAAGGATATTCTAAAGAGTAATTAATTCTTTTCAGTCTTACTAAAATAATGGGGCAAGTGCAGGAAGATAGGACCAAAGTTGTTGAGTATAATAGCTTCAGTCTGGCCCCTGTTTAAACATAACACCTTACACCTTTTGTCTCTCATTTGATTCTTGCAACTTTGAGAGGTCCAGGGTAGGCATCTGTTCTCACCAGTCTACACCTGGGGAAACCAAGACTTAGGGTCACTTGCCCATGGTGAAGCAGTCAGTAGTGACAGAGCTGGTCTGAAGTCCAGACGTTCTGACTTGTAGTTCAGTACCTATTAGTTACCTTCCTGGAAAGAGGTCTTAGAATTATTGTAGTCCTTGGAAGACCTCCCCCAGGTTCCTCCACAGTTTATCAGAAGCAGAACAGAAAGTATAACGTTGCCCATGGGCAGAAGTTGTGAGATGTTGTGTCATTCTCTTTCCCACAGCTCAGAGGGTAACTGAGCTAGAAAAAGTCCAAGGGAAGATGACATTTTCAAGGGGTTAGGGTCACTTTTATATGTGAATAGCCAAAAAAGCCTGGGACTCTTTAGTCCGGAAAGGCACCCTAAGCTGTATATATACAATCAAAGTCTAGGAAGCACTGGAGAGTGCGGATAATGAAAACATTTAGTCACCTTATCTCAATTTGGATGAACCCTTTAGATATTGGGGGTTATCTTAGAAGAAGAAAACACAACTGTCATAACTATTATAGTCTTCTGTGCAAAGTCTCTTGGTGCCATCCTTGAAGCAAAAGACTGGTGAGATCCACGGGGCCGTTTCTCACCTTACGTTCCCATGAACCAAACTGAGGCGCGCACGTGCACACACACACACACACACACACACACCTTTACTCCCTGCAGAGTTGAATCCACTTGTTCATTTTGTCTTGTACCACCAAATCTTTTATAAAGATAATCTGAGTCCACTCTTGTGACCACTTTTTCTGCTGATCTCCTAGCTTCCAGTCACTGCAATCTTTATGGACATGGTTCCCTGGTAACTTTTCATGTTGTTTGTGTCAGCCACACACACTGCTACCTACAGAGTCCTTTGGTGAGGTTTACATTGAGTAGTCAAATGCCACCTTCTGTTTGCTATCTTTAGAACATTCTGCTGGCCACGCTTTATACTTTTGGGCTCTCCTTTCACTCCACTATAGTCCCCTTTTGTTTTTCTTAGCTCCACCTTCCTCCTTCCTCTCCCACTTGTAAGTTGTGTTCAAAGTTCCCTGAATCCTTGCATGAACCTCATTTTTACCATGCCATTCTCTTTTATCCCATTAAATCAGGGTTTTCAGACTTGACTGAATATTACAAACACTTGGGGAGATTTAAAAAATACCAGTTCTTGGGCCCCATCCCCAGAGATTCTGTTGTAGGTGGTGTGAGATGTCTGAAGCCCCATCGGCAGCTCTCATGGGTGGCCAGGGTTGAGAGCCGTGACCTTAAATTGAAGTATGACTCTCCTCCTAAGACCTTGCTGCTCAAAGTGTGGTCCATGGACCAGCAGCATCCGCACACCTGGAAGCTTGTTAGAAATGCAGATTCTCAGGGCACCTGGATGGCTTGCTCAGTCGGTAGAGCGTGTGACTCCTGGTCTTGGGGTTGTATGTTCAAGCCCCACATTGGGTGTAGAGATGGCCTTAAAAATAAAATCTTAGGGGCACCTGAGTGGCTCAGTCAGTTAAGTGTCTGCCTTCGGCTCAAGCCATGATCCTGGGGTCCTGGGATTGAGCCCCATATTGGGCTCCCTGCTCAGTGGGGAGTCTGCTTCTCCCTCTCCCTCTGCTGCTCCCCTTGCTTGTGCTTTCCCTCTCTCTCCTGCTCTCTGTCAAATAAATAAATAAAATCTTAAAAAAAAAAAAAAAAAGAAATGCAGATTCTCGACCCCATCCCAGACCTACTGAGTCAGAATCTGTGCTTTAACCAAGGCCCCAGGTGATTTGTGCACATTAAGGTGTAAGAAGCCCTGCTTTGAAACCTCCACTGATTCCCTTCCTCTGTTTTCCAACCTGTTGCCATAACTTCAGCCTTTTCTTCTACAAACTGATGCTCATGCTGGCTGTGGAACCTACTTTCCTGTCTCAGCATTTAGAGTTTAAAATTGAGTTTAGAGCGTATGTTCTTTGGTACATTTCAAATTCATGTTGCCTAGATTTGTGGAATTCTCACTATGTGTAAGGCCCTGTGTGCAAGCAGGTGTCCTCAGGGGGCTCATCATGTGGCTCTTCTCTTTCCAATTGCAGGGCTGTGGCCTTTCCTTGCCCTTCACTGGCCTGCGTCCCCAGTATGTGGCTTTGACTGTTTTTTCCTTTCTGACTCTCAGCAGAGAGCTATTGCACATCGGAGGCTTCAGCAAGAACATTCCACTTCCCCTTGGTTCTGACTTCCCGTTAGAGCAAGACAGTTTGTAAAGACAGCCCTGCATGTGATAAAGTCTGGCGTGGAGAGACCAGAGGAGGCTGCTTGGCAGCTGAATTCACCCCTGAGAGCGGGAAGCTTTTTTCCTGGAGGACAGGATATAGTTTGTTTAGGTTGGACTTTTTTTTCTTATGTGAGGTAGAAGAGCTAGAGAAGCAAGTCGAAACTATGCCCCAAGTTATTTAGCACTCCTGACCTCCCATTCCCTCTCTGTAGTGTTCCACGTGCTTATAATCATATCCCGACATCACTTGCTCACTGCCCACCTTTGGTTTTCAGCTTTCTCAGTGCAAGGGACCCCTTTGTTGCTTTGATTTTTTTCTAGGGCTCACTTGGTGGTTTGTCTGGAACAGTGCAAAAGTGAGGGTGCATGTGGTAAGGTTGCTAACCCCGTTGTGAGGTCCTTGATCTCTGGCAGAATGGTACCTAATGATAGCCTTTCCCAAATGAACACAACCCTGAGGTAGTTTCACATGTAAACCCTGGTGATAGTAAGCAACTGAGATTTTGTCTTAATTTGGGGGGAGTGATTGTAGTTGGGGTAGAAGCAGCACATCGAGCTACTTTTAGAAATATGTTTATCAACCAGAATTCTCTTGGGCAGGGAGGTTGCTGTCATTCTCTATTCTGACCCCCTGCTCAGCAGGTGATCTCACTGCTGAAATAATTTCCTATTTTTCCCAAGCTCTCTGGAGAATTTTATTTTATTTTTAAGATTTTATTTATTTATTTGACAGAGAGAGACACAGCAAGAGAGGGAACACAAGCAGGGGGAGTGGGAGAGGGAGAAGCAGGCTTCCCGCTGTGCAGGGAGCCCGATGCGGGGCTCGATCCCAGGACACTGGGATCATAACCTGAGCTGAAGGCAGACGCTTAACGACTGAGCCACCCAGGCGCCCCTCTCTGGAGAATTTTATGAGAGGGTATTTACAACTTACTTTTCTGTTTGACATATTATTATAGGAAAACCTGTTATTCCTCCATGCCCGAGTCATCACCTCTTAAATTGGGACAGGGGGTCTCAGTGCTCCAATATCAATGAAGCTGTAAAACTACCATGAGGAAATAGTGGTTTGCCAAGACAGATGGAGGAGTGAGCTTTGGGGGAACGCTGGGTACCTCGTGTATTGAAAGTGTGAAGGCAGGGGCGCCTGGATGGCTGAGTCAGCTAAGCTTCTGCCTTCGGCTCAGGTCATGATCTCAGGGATCTGGGATCTAGTCCCGTGTTGGGCTCCCTGCTCAGCTGGGGGGTCTGCTTCTCCCTCTTCCTCTACCCCTCCTCCCTGCTTGTGTTCTCTCTCTCTCAAATAAATAAATAAATATTTAAAAAAAAAGAGAGAGAGAGAGGGGCACCTGGGTGGCTCAGTCGTTAAGCGTCTGCCTTCGGCTCAGGTCGTGATCCTGGGGTCCTGGGATTGAGCCCCGCATCGGGCTCCCTGCTCCGCGGGAAGCCTGCTTCTCCCTCTCTCACTTCCCCTGCTTGTGTTCCCTCTCTCACTGTGTCTCTCTCTGTCAAATAAATAAATAAAATCTTTAAAAAAAAAAAGAGAGAGAAAGAAAAAAAGAAAGCGTGAAGGCAGCTAAGAGCATGAAGAGTCTTAGGGAAGGGCACGTGGGCCTTTCTTGGCCTGCCTGCCTAAAGATAGCTCAGTCTTTTCCTCTTATCTTACAGACCAGTCCCTCTCCCCATTCCGGGGTGTCCAGGCAGGTGCGGATCAAAGCTTCCCAGTCTGCAGGAGATATCAATACCATCTACCAGCCCCCTGAGCCCAGAAGCAGGCACCTCTCTGTCAGTGAGTATTTCACCCCTTTTTCCTCTCTCATCTAATTTACCTGCCCATGTTTTTTAAAAATTAAGTATTTATTAATTTAAAAGCCATTGTCAAACATTTATAGGCTATTACTCTGTGCAAAATAATCCTCTATGCCTTTATTTGGGGGGAAGGGATAGAGAAATGACTGGGATGGTGTCCTGACTCTCAGGGAGCTTACAATGTAACAATGTGATGGCATGACCAAGTTCCTTTTTAAACATGTCTGAAAAAGTGATCTCCTCAAACATCTGCTTGAAGAACTCCAGCAACAAATAGTCCACTCTCATTTTTGACCATTGTTTCACCAAAGAACTGAGGACTAAGTTGTCTGGGAAGGACAGGAGACTGTTGACATAGGATATATTGATTGGCTAAGTAGGAAGAAAACTATGTAGCTGCCCCAGGCCTCCCCAGGAAAGAAATCAAAGTCAGGTCTGTGCATTATACCAGATAACCCAGCATTGCTCTGGATCCCATTTCCCAGAGTCTGAGGAGAAAGCCCATGTCCTGAATTGTGGAATTTGTATCAAGAGGGAAACCTGGCCTTATCAAACATTTATGTTGAACCTACTACCCTAATGTTGCTGAGACCCCTGCTGCTGCTAGGAAGACAAGTTCTATCCACACAGGTAGAGTTGCATCAAACTGAACTGCTCTCTGAAGATCTTGAGCTGAGCTTGGGGAGTTCTGAACGTCAGTGCTGCCACAGAGCCTGTCTGTGAGTGATAAGCCTCCTGAGAGGGTAGCAGGAAGAATGTGTTACTCAGGCACTGACTTTGCCTTACTGAGTAATTTTTGGAACTTGAGCAAACACTGGTAGTAAGTGTAGCCCAGCTGAAGGTCTGTATAGGAGTTTCATATTTCTCTAACATTGTGCATAATTGGTGGCTATGTTTTCAATAAGCTGATAGAGGAGAGAGAGCCAACACCCCGGCGAGGAGGCCCTATCCGAACATCTCTGGCCCTGGAATCCAGGTGCCCTGAAGCCTAGCAGACTCTGCCAGCTTCGCCTCTGTCCCAGAGCCCTCAGAGATACTGGGAGGAGGGCAGCATTGTTCATTTGCACAAGAAGCAGTGAGGATCGACATGGGGCAGTGATTGGGCCCGCTCCTAACCTAGAGCCTGTGATTTGTGTGTAGGGGCAGTGGCCAAATGCTGGGCCATTGTTGTGAGGAGCCATATATGGAATTTCCTTGTCTGAGAATGCTGAGGAATAGGATTTCTATGAAGTAGTTCCTGTATATCTAGAGAATGGCCAACACAGCCTCCTAGCACACGTAGATCCTGGCTTCCGTCGTTCAGCAAGCAGTATGTACCAACCATTGAGCTGGGATGAGGGCTACAATGGAGGCGTGTATAATAGGGGCTACAGTGGAGGGCAGGGTGAGGTGGGAGGAGGCAATCACCAACTCGTCCCAGGACTTTGGAGAAGCCCTTCCACAGAAGAGGAAACATCAGAGCTGCCACACGAAGGAAAGATTTACTGAGCAGAGAGATATTCCAGGCACAGGAGAGGGCATCTGCCAGACAGCCTCACAAAAGAAGATGGGGGGTTCAGAGAACCCCGAGTGGTGTAGAGTGTGGCGGACATGACAGAAGAAGTGGGTGGAGCCTGCCAACCTTTCCCTAGAGCCGAGAAATGGCAGAGGTTATTTCTAACTGGAACGGCTTGGCACATGCCTTCTGTGGAGGAGCTGTGTGAACTGGATCTTTCCATAGGTAAGGATGAGGGGAGAGGGCTTTTTGACTGTTTTTCTGTGGAGATCTCACTTGTCCTTCAGACTGGCTGATATATTTGGAGGAGAATAAAGATGAGACAGGATGCCTGGGCCACCTCTAAGAAGCCTGAACTGCCCTTGGGCTTGTTTGGTAGGCAGTGGGAAGTCATTGAAAATGTTGGTCCCTCATGCCCATCTCTATTACAATGCTCATCACATAATCTTACTATCTTTTTTCTCTCCCTGTCAGACTGCATTGTTGTTCATTCATTTATTCCCTTAAGATTTAATTGGCCAAGTATCAGCTGTGTGCCAACAACAGGGGAAGCAAAAAAAGACCTGGCTCCCGCCCCTGTGGCTCTTACAGCTGCGTGCAAAGACAGACACTTGTCACGATGAGATTAATGTGTAATTTATAGGCTGTGACTGAAAGGTGTATGGTGCTGTGAGCATGTGTAACAGAGGGATGCATCCTGGTTTTGGGGCCAGAAAAGCCTTAGCCTGTGACCCGGCACGTGAATGATGCAAAGGGGAAGCAAGGAAGAGAGTGCCAGGCAGGGAGAGCTGCACGTGTGGGGGCCGGGGCCGGATGGCTGAGGGAGTATGGTGTGATTGAGACAGAAAGAAGCCCTGAGGCTGGAGAGCCGAGAATAGCAGGGCAGAGGAACGGGCTGAGTCCGGGGAAGGAGGCAGAGCCTTGTGGTCATGATGAAGATCTTGATTCTTAATGTTGAAAGCAGTGAAAGTCCACTTTCTGGTTTTTAAAGTGAAGAGGAATAGGTGTACAACATACTCAGATTTGTGTTTTGAAAAGATTGCTGTAGCTACAGTGTGGAGAACAGATTGCAGGGGAGCAAGAACGGACCAAGGGGGGAACCATGTTAGGCTAATGTAGTTTGGTACAGGAGAAGAAGACAGAAGTTTGGATTAGGCTAGTGACAGTAGTGGAGGAGGAAGGCACAGGTGGATTTGAGACATTTAGAAGATAAAGGCCAACAGAACATGGTGTTGTTTGGTTTTCAGAGTGTGGTCCGGGGACTTGGGGTGGGGGGGGTCCCTGAGATCCTTTCAGGAGGTCTGTGATTTGCCTTTTTACTCCATTCTCTCATGAGGATGAATGGAGCTTTCCAGAGGTTACCTGCCTGAGGTGAAGTCATTGCTCTGATGGCTGTGGAGTGTGTGCTTGTGTATCATTGTGTTCTCCAAACGTTTGAGCTTTAATTTCTAATACAGTGAATATCAATTGATTTAACCCACTTAATAAAAGCTCTTCAGTGTTCTTGATTTTTAAAGTATAAAAGAGTTCTAAGAGGTTTAAGAACTACTGTGGTATTGGATTGACTTTGTAAGTGTTGAAAGAGCAGGAGATAAGTTACTGGTTTATGGATCTGGATGAATGGCACCGCCTGTCACTAAGACAGGAATGAGAGACGAGAGCCTGGTTTCCTGTGCTGAGAAGAGGCAGACCTGATGTTGTACACAGGTTGAATTGGAGGTGCCTTTGAGACAGCTAAGAGGAGCTATCAAATGGACAGGTAGATATATAGGACTCCAGCTCAAAGGGGAGAAAATCAGGACTAGAAAAAAATATTAGAAATTGTCCAGTTGAAGCCACGGGTCCAGATGAGAGGTCCTAGGCAGAGACTGCAGAGTAAGAAGAGGCCGAGGGCTGAGCCTCAGGAACCCAGACACTTAGTGGCCAATTAGAGGAGGATGAACCTGCAAAGGACACAGGAAAGGAGTGACCAGAGAAATAGGAGGGGGTGAGAGGAGACCTTACATGGTACCAGCCAGGTTGGAAAGAGTAAGAGACACAACTTGTTGTTTTCATCCACAAATGTCTAAGTACTTGCTTTGCTGGTACAGTGTAAGGCCTTCTGGAAGTAGAAGGAAACAGGAAGAGGGGAGAGTCAGGGTTTAAGTATCAGGTGCGAGGAGAAGTCCTTGCAGTAGAAACAGGGTCAAAAGAGAAGCCTTAGAGATTCAACCCCCAACCAGCAGGAGCAAGGGGGCTTTTCCCTCCTCCCCTACCAACATGAAGGAACCTGTGAGTATTTAGTGAGAGACGGCAACATGCGGGTCATTCAGCCCCCACGGCACCATTTTCAGTGATGGGGAAGTGCAAGGTAGCCTGATCCGTGCTGTTTCTTTGAACTTCTTCCTTATATTGAATTGAAAATCTGCCTTCCCTCACTTTACCCAGTGACTCTGGTACTGCTCTCTTGAGCAACACAGATACATAGATAACATCTTTCGTATGACAGGTTTTCAACTGTTTGAAACCAGCTGTCATGTTTGCTTTTTGTTTTCCCCATCATAATATACATACCTTGAATTTTAATTTTTTTCAAGCCAATTAGTCTGTTAAATTAGCTCATGCTAAAAAAACAAAGACAAGCAGCAAACAAAAACAACAACAACTAGGTAATGAGTTGACCCAAAAGAAAGACCCCTGTGGGGAGATCTTCAGACAAGGCAGATGGAATTTCCCTACATGACGATGCCCTTTCTTATATCTTTGCCTGTAGAAATTCTGCCCACCTTTGAAGCCGAGCTCAAGCACCATTTTTCCATAATACCTTGGGTGGTGCCCTTAAGCCACGCAGCCAAGCCTCAAATGCAGGACTTGTCCCTGCCACATTCTGACTCCGTTGGGTCTAATGCATCTCGTTAAGTGCCTTTGCCTCTGTTCCTACTCTGTCTCACTCCTTGTCTTGCCACTGCAATCCTCCACAGTGAGGCAAGCCAGATTGCAGCCCCTAAGAAATGGGAAGCAGGGGAGTGGAGGTAATCAGTTCTTTCAAGGAGTTTGGCTGTGAAAGAAAAACAGAGGTCGGTTAGTGGTTTACAGGAGAGGCAAAAAGTAAGGTCAAGACTGTAAGCTAGGGGTCTGAGCATGCTCACGAAGAAGGGAGGTACAACACCAGCTGAAAAGGGGATTGAGGGAGGTGCCAGGGGGATGTGGGGAAGCCAATTCCTGCTGCATGGGACGTGGGGAGTGCAGGTGGAGGGTGCCTTATGCCTTGGCAAGGGGGAGAACAAGGTGACTTGCAGGGAGCCCTGGGCCGCCGCTGGGTAGAGAGAGCTGTGCGCAGTGCCGACCTCCTGTCCTGGTGCAGTTAGAGGGGCGGAGGCCGCCATCACACAGGTCAGCTTCCTTCACTTCTGCAGGGTTTTTCTCCTTGCCGTAAATTCTTCTGTGATGCTGGATGAGACCAGGAACTATTTAGTAGTGGTGGCAACTTCAAAATCAAATGGGAATTTTGAAAGCTGAAACATCTAGGATGTTCTCAGGATCTCGTGGGATGAAATGTTGAGAAGCTTTGTTCTGCACAGCCTGGTCCAGTGTGAACACACTGAAAAATACTGGTTAAGATTTCCCATTGAGGAAGAAAAAAAGAGTCAATTCCTCCCCCAATCTCATCTGTCCAGCAAGAGACAGCAGCGTTTAGAGAAAAAATAGTTGATGGCCAAAACAGCTATCTCTTTGTACTTGCAATGACCTGCACATTAACACTGACCCCAAACCCTAGAACTCCCTGTGGAGGGAACTTCCTGACTGCATCAGCTTCCTGACCGGAGTCTCCTATGAGAAGGGCTAGAATCTGAGAGCCAGTCTTCCAGCTCTGGGTGAGAGTTTTGCTCGGACTTTGCACTATGGGTTAAGGAGCTAGCAGAGAGCTGGCATGCCCTGGGAGGAGTACAGCCAGTCAGCAGCTTAAAGCCCGGGCTTTCTCCTTGTGTGTAGAACACCTTCATGCAGAGCTGTGGGCACTCTGAACACAGGACGACTACTTTGCTTTGTTGCTTCAGCTGCTGCTGATGGGGCCCCTTGGCACAAATGGCCTCGTGAGAATAGAGCAAGGTCCGTCTGGAATGCCAGGGAAGGACATCCCAGCGAGTTTGCCATCCCCACCAGGCCTACCTTCCAAGGCCTAGAATGAGTTGTCTTGCATAGTACTGTGGTTTGTGCTGTCTAGCTCACTGCTGTGTCTGTTGGCAAATAATGGGCGCATCAGTGAGTCTTGCGGTCCAGTATCCTGTCCTGTTAAGGTCCCTGTCTCATTTGTTCTCGACGGCTGTTGTGTGTCTCACTAGCCCCCAATTTCTGAATTGAAGATAAAAACAAAACTGAAAATGCTCTGGAGCAGTTCTGCCAACTCCTGGTTTTTCCATTTGCTTCCTCTGATAGCCATTGGTTTGGGGAGACTTCCCTTTCCTGCCCCAAGCTGTGGGCCTGTGCACAATAGCCCCTGGCCCATTGCCCATCAGATAACAAGGCTGGCTCTCTGCAGGCAGCAATGTGTATTGGAAAAAGTGAAAGTCTCTGGCTGGAAATAAAAGCTCAGAAAACCTTTGCTATTTTCCCCCAGCCCCTCCTGGGTCTGTAGTGCTGGCCTCATGTGAGCCAGTCCCATCTTACCTGTAAAACCAGGGGAGAGTTGAGTGGCAGCTGGTAAAGGAGAGAATGGGTATCCAGAGCCTTGGGTATTTTACCCCAAGGAGGCTTCACCTAGATACTCCATTTGACAGACTGAGAGCAGTTTATCCTGTCCGGGGATAGTTTGGATCGCTGGGACTTCATCAATAAGTAAGTTTTTCTTTCCTCTCTAATAAGTCCCTTAGAGGAGACATTTTTGGTTCATTGTAGGTCAAATGTGTAATACCTTTTCACTCCGGAGTATATTGGTCAGGGTTCAGGTGCACAGAGTAGAATCCTCTCTAACTAGATTCGGGAAGAAGAGATTTAGTGCTCATCCTGGCTTATAAAGTGATTGGAGAGAGAAACAGATTCTAGGTTAAGACACCACAGAGCTCCTCCCTCTTCTGTAACCAGGATGGTACCAGATTCAGAAGCACAGTGCCTCTCTGCTCTGGTCCGCACCACTACATAGGGATGACTGCTTCTGTGTCTTGACATCGGGAAAGCGGGAGGCCCGGTGTGGGGCCTCGGGTAATTCCACAGCGGAAAAACCGGGGCTTCTACGACTGTGCCCAGCAGCAGCAGGAAGCCATCTAAACCTCGCACAAGTGCATCTGACTGGCTGCACCCAGGAATAATAGCTTTTAGCTGATTAACTTCTGAAGTATAGGAAGGCATACTAGAAGGGTAGAATGGATCTTGAGTCTAACCCATTGTATCTGCCACATAGGGTGAAGGAAACAAAGGGAATTCTGCTGAGTTCCTACCTGGTACCAGCCTCTGCAGCAGATGTTTGGTCTGACCTGGTCCCCTGTCTGCTGCTCTCAGCCACACATTCTGGGCTCTGTTGTAAAAGGTCTTGTTTCTGTGTCCTAGGCTCCCAGAACCCTGGCCGAAGCTCACCTCCCCCTGGCTACGTGCCTGAGCGGCAGCAACGCATTGCCCGGCAGGGGTCCTACACCAGCATCAACAGCGAGGGGGAGTTCATCCCAGAGACCAGCGAGCAGTGTGTGAGTACAGGCTTGGGGTGTGCCTCGGAGTGTGTCAGACCAAGGTTATAATGGGGCTTCTCAGGGGGCGTGGTGCAGAGCTGAGGGATTTGAACCCCATCCACTAGCTTCTTGTAAGCCAGGCCTGCCCCAATATGGATTATTCCTTTTTAGGGGCCAAATATTAATTCCTGCCATGAACAGTGTGTAAACTACCCAGGCTCCTTGGTGTTGGATGAGCATTTGACACATTTTTCCTCTGCTGTGCTCCTCTCACGGGTCTCCCTGCAGAACACCACTCTGCTATTTGAATGCTTCCCTACAGCCTCCTGTGGTATCAGCGGAGTTTAACATATGACCAATCCTGAACTGACAGATTTTGTTTTTCATCAGCCATATTTTAGTTTTGCTGTTTCGTGATGAAAGGTAGGGGGTGTACCATATCCAAATTACACTGTAGAAATGGTTACTTTGTGTGAGCTGTATTAGTTATCTGTTGCTACACAACAAATTACCACAAACTTAGCTGTTTAAAAACAGCATACATTTATTATTTTACAATTTCCCTGGGTAAGGAACCTAGGCATGATTTAACAGGGCCCTCCATTCGGGGTTACACAAGGCTACAGTCGAGTGTCAGCCAGGCTGCATTCCTTTCTGGAACTTGGGGTTCCCCTCTGAGCTTACGTGGTTGTTCGCAGTGATTATAGCACTGTGGTCCCTGTCTTCTTGCTGTCTGTTGGCCAGGGGCCACTCTGAGCTCCTAGAAGCCTCATGGCTTTCAGCTTCTTGCCACATGGCTCTCTCACAACATGGCAGCTTCTTCAAGGCCAGAGGAGAATCTCTTGCTTCAGTCTGTAAAGATGGAGTCGTAAAATGTAGCATCATCATGGGGATGAATGTGCCACCTTCTTTGCCATAGTCTGTTGACTAGAAACAAGTTACAAGTTCTACCCATACTTTAGGGGAGGGGTTTATACAAAACTGTGACTCATTGTGGGGGCCACCTTAGAGTATGCCCACCACAATGGCTCACCCATTTTAATAGGTAACTTTTTAAACTAGTGACTCACTTGATGAAAATGGCATTTTGGCTTAGTGAACTCAGCAAAAGTGAGATCTCTGGCTTCATTCTGAAGTCTTTTCAGTGAGCTTGCTTTGATTACATAAAAGAAAGATCCGCTCTTAGAAATTTTTAGGATTTGGTCTGGGAAGGGGAAGTTTCTTAAGAGCAAAGCATCCATTAGAAGGGCCAGCACCACCACATGAGGGATTTTACAGAAAACTGATCCTTGTAACTTTTCTTTCTCCTAAAACTGATTCTTAAAACTTTTCTTTCCTGGTGATAGCTAATCTGTATAAAGCATTATCCAAACTACATAGACTGTGAGAAGGCCTCTACACTGCTTCTCATTTCTTTAACTCCTGCTTTCCAGATAAATTTATGTTTAGAACAATGACCTGGGGTGATTTTAGTTAAGGATTCCCTTCTTGGGTATTTTACTGACCATCCTTTCTGTTTCCTCTAACCAGAGCACTTCTGGCCATCAGCTGTGTTAGAGGTGACTTGGATGTAAAATCTCAGAGATCGCAAATGAGTTCATTGCCTTTGGTCTCTGTCCTTCCCCATGGCCCTATGTCCTGGTCCTTTTACATCTTTGCTTTACCTGCCTACCCCTGGAAGGTGTGGGAGTACTGGATTCCTAGTGAGGACAGGCTTTTAGAAAGAGGCCAAAGAAGGAATGCCTAAGTCCTTCCCCTTAGCTGAAGTGAATTGTTCCTGGTAACCAGTCATTCAAGATAAATCCACTGTTAACAGAGACCAAAACAGTGTAGTATATATAGTGAAAGAATATTCAACTGGGACTTTCTTGAAAAGTGAAACTAAGATAGGTTTATTTGTTTTTTCTTTCATCAGATTACGGTAATAGTTGCATCTGTTTGCTAATTTTTAGAATGAACAAAAGTATGATTCATGTTAATTTTTTTGGCTTAATTTTTCTTTTTTTTTTTTTTAAAGATTTTATTTATTTATTTGACAGAGAGAGAGAGAGTGAGAGAGGGAACACAAGCAGGGGGAATGGGAGAAGGAGAAGCAGG